AGTATTAATTCAACAATAAATTTATTGAAATAATTCAATAATTAATTCATTGGATTAATTCAAGAATTAATTCCTTGAATTAACTCAAGAATAAATTCAAGAATTAATTCCTCGAAATAATTCAAGAATTAATGTATTGAATTAATTTCAAGTATTAATTCAACAATAAATTTATTGAAATAATTCAATAATTAATTCATTGGATTAATTCAAGAATTAATTCCTTGAATTAACTCAAGAATAAATTCAAGAATTAATTCCTCGAAATAATTCAAGAATTAATGTATTGAATTAATTTCAAGTATTAATTCAACAATAAATTTATTGAAATAATTCAATAATTAATTCATTGGATTAATTCAAGAATTAATTCCTTGAATTAACTCAAGAATAAATTCAAGAATTAATTCCTTGAATTAACTCAAGAATAAATTCAAGAATTAATTCCTTGAATTAACTCAAGAATAAATTCAAGAATTAATTCCTTGAATTAACTCAAGAATAAATTCAAGAATTAATTCCTTGAATTAACTCAAGAATAAATTCAAGAATTAATTCCTTGAATTAACTCAAGAATAAATTCAAGAATTAATTCCTTGAATTAACTCAAGAATAAATTCAAGAATTAATTCCTTGAATTAACTCAAGAATAAATTCAAGAATTAATTCCTTGAATTAACTCAAGAATAAATTCAAGAATTAATTCCTTGAATTAACTCAAGAATAAATTCAAGAATTAATTCCTTGAATTAACTCAAGAATAAATTCAAGAATTAATTCCTTGAATTAACTCAAGAATAAATTCAAGAATTAATTCCTTGAATTAACTCAAGAATAAATTCAAGAATTAATTCCTTGAATTAACTCAAGAATAAATTCAAGAATTAATTCCTTGAATTAACTCAAGAATAAATTCAAGAATTAATTCCTTGAATTAACTCAAGAATAAATTCAAGAATTAATTCCTTGAATTAACTCAAGAATAAATTCAAGAATTAATTCCTTGAATTAACTCAAGAATAAATTCAAGAATTAATTCCTTGAATTAATTCAAGAATTAATATATTGAATTAATTTCAAGCATTAATTCAACAATAAATTTATTGAAATAATTCAATAATTAATTCATTGGATTAATTCCTTGAATTAATTCCTTGAATTAACTCAAGAATAAATTCAAGAATTAATTCCGTGAATTAATTCAAGAATTAATATATTGAATTAATTTCAAGTATTAATTCAACAATAAATTTATTGAAATAATTCAATAATTAATTCATTGGATTAATTCAAGAATTAATTCATTGAATTAATTCAAGAGTTAGACAGTAAACATAAATAAATTTAAAGGTTACGGACACTATTTTAGTGTTGTCAAGTGTATACCGGTAATTAAGAGTGTTATATTGTTTTATTAGTCCATGAAATGTTAATAATTATTTAATGATAAAATTTATCGGAAATTTCCTCAAAAATGTTATTAAATAATTTAAAAATTAATTTTAAGATAACAAAAGTATTTCTACGTATTATTTTTTTATAGACATTCTTTAGACTAGAAGGATACTTTTGGATCTCCTTAAATGGATAAATAATAAAAATTAATGTCTAGTTGGAGAGAAAAAAAAGTAATTCGAAAACTGGGATTGGCTCGATAACAAGACAAAAGACACGTTTGCTAGGCAATCTTATAGACGAGCTCTTATTGTTTTTAAAACTATTATTTTATCCTTTTTTTGGGACCATTGTACTGGTCCCTGGTCAAAGGATAATCCAGCAATCCACCCCAAACCTTGAATAAGCTCAATGCTCAAACCGAAAAGGCAACAAAGTCCATCTGACTGGAGACTAGAGACTGGACTTGTACCAATTGTACTCTTCTATCTCCTCCTTCGGACGTGTTGATTGTCTTGGCTTCAGATAAACCGTTTCCACGTACTTTTCATCATCCCAATAATACAATCCATTTTTATCTTTTGATCATTTCGGCTTTTGTTACTAACAACTTTATCGAATCATTACTAAGAAAATTGTAAAATTAATTTTTACTATTTTATTATCGTAATTTTAATTAAATAGAATAGGTAACGGTGGACTATACTTGTAATTAAATAATTTTTACGATCTACTATTGTAAATTTTATTCAACAAATAACACTACCAACAGACTTAAAAAGTCCAATACTATAGAGCTAATTACACAAGATGTGTTAGTGAACTTTACAATTAAACTATTGTAAAAATTGACACAAGGTTTTTTTTGAATAAATTTTAGGGACGGGAGAAGGTAGGAGGTTCGACTGATTGGTAACTTTGCAGTAACCGAAAAAAAAAAATCGGAATTTGTCCGTCCGGGAATCGAACCCAGAACTGTTTAGTTGGTAGCCAGACGACTCTCCCTCTACGCTATCCGCGGTAAACTACTATTGATGTCCTTGAGCATTTACATAAACTCGCGAGTCTAGCGCTGTGCACGGCCAACACTCACACTAATTTACAAAACATTCCAATTAAACTATTGTAAAATTAGTTAGTTCTATTGGAAAGATCCAGAGGCAGCGCTGGACAATTTTCGTCTAAAATATTTGAAAGTTACCGGTAATACAAGTATAGTCCAGCATTACAATATTTTTATTGTAAATTTTCGTTGAAAATTTCAAGGTGTTGAATTAATTTATTAATTTTCTTTTGAATAAAATAGATAAAATACTAAACATCTAAATGTTGTAATAAAAAATAAAGATAAATATTGAGTTTGATATTTAGCGTATTCCCTGATGGTGCGCTAGTGGTATCTGGTATCTGGTTAGCTCCAGGTCGAAATAAAGAGAAAATAGTCGGAGATTGTAGAGCGAAATTATACAAGATAGCCGAGAACCAGAGAACCGACCCAGACTATTTGGAGTATTGCTCTCTGTTGATGATCTCGAGAGACGGAATATAATATCATATCGTGATACTCCTGGATTTGTTACCGGATATTCTATCCTGGATATCGATAATCATTAACATTATCCCGGTGCACTTGTAAAATTAATAATTTCCCCAAGCAGTGGGGATATGGACAAGAATTTTATTTAAAAAAGGCGGACATAAATAAAAGTGATGAAAAAAAAAAATAAAAGAAGATGCGATTAGATGACTTGTCAAGCTCCGGGAAAATTGCATTTTACAAACTTGTTTCGAGGAAAGAATTGGAGAAAATTGTGGAATAGAGTGGTAGTGGCCAGGTGGGAAAAAAGGGTCTACCCCTTCTCTTTCAAGAGTTAGAATGAGACGGGGGATAGAATGGAAAATAACCCGTAGGTAGATAGAAATTGTAGGAGAATGAGAATAAGAGAACGAACAGTACCAAAGTCCTCCTTACGCGACGTCTAGAGCACATCCCGACCCTTCTCTCGACGTCGACGACATTTCAAACGTCTTCTTGTTCTTCTTCAGCGCAACTTCCACCAGCCTATATACAAAGAGACACACAAATTGCCTCGGAACTTAGTTTCGAGGTATAAAGGACCGGGGGATTACCTTTCGATTTAATGATTGATTTGAAATTATTGCGCAGTAAAGCAATATATATAATGCAACTATTTTGAAAGCAACCGAGTGATTAACAAAATTTATAATCGATTAATCGGTTAAGTTTTTGGGTAGTTTCTGGGAGTTAACATTCGAATGGCTCCTTTGATGTTATTAATTAGTGGAAATTCTACTCTGTCTCTTGACGAGATTCTAATATCTATCAAAGCCTCGGATTATTGCTGTTTACATTGCCAGGATTATTGGTTTACCAACTACTCGTGTACAATCACCCGTAAGATATAACCAAACGTTATTTGTGAATTTTTTTTCACTTTATGGTTATCTAGAAGAAAATTTTCTATGAAAACCGGTATATACTTGATAACACAAAAAGAGTGTCCCTAACTTGGAAATTTATTTATGTTTACTGTCTAACTCTTGAATTAATTCTTAAATTAATTCAATGAATTAATTCTTAAATTAATTCAATGAATTAATTCTTAAATTAATTCAATGAATTAATTCAATGAGTTAATTCTTGAATTAATTCAATGAATTAATTCTTGAATTAATTCAATGAAGTAATTCTTAAATTAATTCTTAAATTAATTCAATGAATTAATTTAATGAATTAATTCGTGAATTAATTCAATAACGCTGTCGTAATGCTGGACTATACTTGTATTACCGGTAACTTTCAAATATTTTAGACGAAAATTGTCCAGCGCTGCCTCTGGATCTTTCCAATTGAACTAACTAATTTTACAATAGTTTAATTGGAATGTTTTGTAAATTAGTGTGAGTGTTGGCCGTGCACAGCGCTAGACTCGCGAGTTTATGTCAATGCTCAAGGACATCAATAGTAGTTTACCTCGGATAGCGTAGAGGGAGAGTCGTCTGGCTACCAACTAAACAGTTCTGGGTTCGATTCCCGGACGGACAAATTCCGATTTTTTTTTTTCGGTTACTGCAAAGTTACCAATCAGTCGAACCTCCTACCTTCTCCCGTCCCTAAAATTTATTCAAAAAAAACCTTGTGTCAATTTTTACAATAGTTTAATTGTAAAGTTCACTAACACATCTTGTGTAATTAGCTCTATAGTATTGGACTTTTTAAGTCTGTTGGTAGTGTTATTTGTTGAATAAAATTTATAATAGTAGATCGTAAAAATTATTTAATTACAAGTATAGTCCACCGTTACTATTTTATTAATCTTCTGCCAATTAAATCACTGTTTCTTTGTTTTGCAATAATGTCTAACAAACATCTGGCAATTTTTTTAATATATCCGGGGGACATTAAAGTGACCCTCGCATATTCTCGTACTATACCGACAATGAATCTGTTATTTTGTAATAGGATTGGCCCCTATCCCTTAAATTAATCCTATTTTAGGACATCTGTTGGAGATAATATTAAAAATAATAACAAAATAAATTATCAATTAATTATATTTTAAATTTAACTGTACAATTATCTATCAATTAGTCTTTACTATTATTTTAGGTGCGATGAATCCACCGAAGCCTCTTCTACTCTTGTAGTAAATTCCAGCCCCAGAAATAGGAGACGCCGGCTCAGTTACGACCTCTTGAAAATCCAAAAAGGGAATCATGTGCTGTGCAAAATCGTACTTCCAGTCGCTCGGGTGGAATTTAATGTAATGTTTATTCGGCGTACTGATTTCTTCACTGCCAGAAGGTGGTATTAAAGAAATATTTAAGTCAGATATTAACAATACTTTTCTATAAAAAAAAAATTGTTGATTTATTACTCATTAAATACAACTCAAGCTCTCTAATAATTTAAGGAGCAATTTTAGAGGGCTTTTGTGGTATTTTATGGTTGAAATTTTAATAATTACCTTTTTCCTTGTATTTTGTGATGTGGGAACCAATTTTCAATGTCTAGATTTCCGGTTGAGTCTACTGTAGTGCCTATTGCTCCTAAGGAAAATCTTCCGACGCTAAAACCGTAAACTTTTGTCTTTGGATCGTATCTGTTGAATTGCACTCCTAAAAATTGGATTTAAAAAAAAAAAAAATAAAAAATAATAATAATAATAATAATAATAATTAATAGAGTACCTGTTAAAACTTGATCTTCCGGAAGAATAACTTCATCAAGTTGAAACGCTCGACTGTTGTAGTTCATGGGACCAGGCATAGTACACCAATTTTTAATGCTCCAATGGACGGTACTCTGGTTGATGAGTCCGTTCACCAATTGGCCTTGTTGAATTTCTAGGTGGACCATTTTTGCTCTTATGACAAGTCGTAATCCTGTAATTACACTATTTAAAAAATTTATTAATTAGGAAATTATCAATATTATTAGTAAAACAATAATAATAAAAAATAGTTACTATCCCTCCTCGACTAATGACTGAATAGTGTCTAAGCAAAAAGACCGGACGGACTTTTTGCTGTGAGTGTCATCGCAGTAACATTTACAAGTAACGCACCGACTGTGAGAAGATAGTGGGTAATTTGTGTATAAATCATGATCTTTGTAAAGGTGATGATGTTGTCGATCATGTAGTCCTTCGGCTTTTCTTACGCTAAAGTCAGAGCCATCTTTGTTTGGTTTGAACCGGTACATCATGTTGTCTACGTGCTGAAAATAATTTTTTATTTAATGTAAAAAATTATTAACTTAATATTAATAAATAAATTGAATTTTGCTTTATTAAATAATGAAGTTTGTTAAATTGGACTGTACTTTCTTAAATATTGACATTTTTTATGATATAAACTCATCTTGATGTTACACTCATCAAGAGCTTTCATTTAAGTACCCACATGCATTTTTTATATATTTGTCATATATACATATATATAATATATATAAATATATAAAATATATAAAAAATTGATGAGGGTACTCAAATAAAAGGTCTCAATGAGTGTAATCTCAGGATGAGCTTATATCTTAAAAAATGTCAATAGTTCACAAGATACAAGGTCATTTCTTAATTATCTATCTGCAGCCTAAATAATATAGATTAATTGAATTTATTTAATTGAAATAAACTTACCAAAGTAACTGTAGCGTCAAAATTAACAACGTCTTTGCATTTAACAATCCTTCCATTGCACTGAAATAATTTATTGACTATAGATTTATTATAATGTTCATTGTGGTGGTAATAAGTATCCTCATAATCGGAACACCTTCCTGTGCACTGTCCATTCTTACTCAAATATTGTTCATCAAAAAGTTGTCCTTTTAAAAATGTCAACCTTCCAAATGTAACATCTAAAAATAAAATCACTTGTTTAATTTAATTAAAAATAATATATATAAACACTTTGATTAACTTTTACCATTTCTGTGCATTTCAGGGTCTCTTTTTTGGATATACTTATAGTGAACAAAACTAGACTCGACTGATAGTAAAAAATAAATTAATACTAAATTAATGATATTCATTTTAATATTTTAATATTGGCTATTGTAATGTGTCGAGTATGAAAGATGACTAATGAATAACTAATGATGGTTTTATATATTGAATTTTTATTATCTCCAAGATTATTAACACATTAATTTTTATTCTAAAATAACTGTGAGTAGTAGCTGCGATAATTATATCAACATTTATAGTATACTGATCGTTGTATTATGTGTGAACACTTGTTTAAAATAAATTTTCCCAGAACATTCTGTAATATTCTTTTAATATTTGTCACATACTCATTGTCGCTCCCCATTGATCCCACTGATTAAATATTAATACAGTTTTATCTACTTAAACTGTGTAAAAAATTTAAATTTAATTACTTGTTGACCACATTGTTGAAAAAGTATTTTATCTATTAAAAAAAAAAAATAGAAAGAAAAATTTTACCACTCTGAAAATTTCAGGGAATTTGCAAAAAATACTGAAGTTTTTTATAAAAAAGAAAAATCGAAAATCAAAAATGTCAATCATCCCGTAAATTTTCGTTTTTTTACCAAAAAGTTAAAAAAAACATTGAATATGAACCCGAATTATTATTTTAATTTTTTTTTTTAAAGTACATTTAAAGACAAAAATTTCAAAAAAAAAAAAACATCCCAAAAAGTCAATTTTCAATAAAGTTATGGTTATTTAACAAAAAAAAAGCTGTTTTTTTGTAATAACTCGTAACTTTTTTTTGGTTAGGTAAAAAAATTTGAAAAAATTCTGAAAATTGTTTTCAATAGGGTAGAGAAAGATACCAAAATTTCAGAAAAATCGAAAAGGGTCGGTGTCAAAAGTGGTCGATTTTGCATGGAATGCCCCATATGTTATATATATGTATATATGAAAAATATATCAAAAATGCAAGTAAGTACTCAAATGAAAGCTCTTGATAAATGTAACATCGGGATGAGCTTATATCTTAAAAAATATCAATATTAATTAAGAAATTGTATCTTGTGAAAAATTGACATTTTCAACGATATAAGCTCACCCTAAGATTACATTCATCGAGACCTTTTATTTGAGTACCCACATCAATTTTTCATATATTTATATATTTATATATACTATATATATGTATATATGAAAAATATATCAAAAATGCAAATGGGTACTCAAATAAGAGCTGTTGATGAGTGTAACATCAAGATGAGCTTATATTTTAAAAATATATATTATATATATGTATATATGAAAAATATATAAAAAATGCATGTGGGTACTCAAATGAAAGCTCTTGATGAGTGTAACATCAGGATGAGCTTATATCTTCAAAAACATCAATATTTAAGAAAGTACAGTGCAATTTAACAAAATTCATTATTTAATAAAGCAAAATTTTATTTTTTTATAATTAACAAGTCACGGCAGTCACGTAGTGACTGCCTTATTGCTATTCATTATTATTAAGGCAAAAATTTTGACCCTAATAATAAAGTAAATTATTTTGCGATAATTTGTCTTAGAATAAAATATAAATAAAAATGTTTAATAAGGTTGTTAATAGTATTAAGCGTAGGTGACATGAAACGCGCACGTCATTGTAAAATCTAATTTAGTCCGATTAACAGTGACGTGGTTGATAATGCTTGTAAATTGGGTAAATTATGTTGCTGTACCCGAGCAGCCGTCTCTCTGACCCTGCTACTGTCACTGGCATTCGTACACCTATAACAATATAACTATATGCAATTGTTAACGATTAACATATGTAGAGACACATTACTAGACGTACCAAGAGAAATGTTTTAATTTAGAGACATTGGACAACAATCTACAATTTATATCAGTCGAATATATATATTTATATCGATCAAAGTTAATTACCCAATTAAAAGTTAGCTGACGAGAGTCAAAAGAGGAAGATAAGGTAACAGAGGATAGATAAATATCTAACAAAACTAAAGGGACAGTGGAACAGTCGACCGCAATCGTGTATGCAATTTACCCAAAGCTTCAAACTACTTTTATTTCAATTAAAATACTTAAACTTTTACTAATTGCCCTTCACACTATTAGTCGGATCTTTATTAGTAGAGACTTCGATTGTCGAGCTGGTGTAAGCACTGTCAAAACCAATGCGACCCTTTTTTGTACTCAAACGTTTGTTAAACGACCTGTCGACTAACTGACGGGTGTATCTTTCATTTTACTCGCTTTAGATAAAATAGTAACTAGTTTAACAGTAACGATGACAATGTCGAGCAGTTTATTGTTATCAAGGGCTTATTATTCTGGTGAGTGACTTTATTTCTGGTCTTTAGTTGCTGGAGTCATTGTAAACTGTGACAAGTTATGGTTTGATGAAAAAAAAAAATTTATAATTAATCTAAAGATTAATTTAGTTGATAATATTATTGAATTTTTTTTTTTTATAAAATCAAAAATTAATAATTATTTATAATTCATTTTAAAAAGTTATTTTTGCTAAAATTAATATTTGAAGAATTGTTGGATATTTTTATAGTGACTATACAATCATTTTTCATTTTTTTATTGACCATATCGGCAACTAAATTAATAAATTATTAATTATTGAATTATTAAATTGTATAATAATTATTATAATTATTAAATTATTAGAGTGGTAAATTAATATTTAAAGAATTTTGGATATTTTTATAGTGACTATACAATAATTATTTTTTTTATTGACCATATCGACAACTAAATAAATTATTAATTATTAAATTGTATAATAATTATTAAATTATTAAAGTGCCAAAATTAATATTTGAAGAATTGTTGGATATTTTTATGGTAACTATAAAATAATTTTTCATTTTTTTTTATTGACCATATCGGTGACTAAATAGATGAATTATTGAATTATTAAATTGTATAATAATTATTAAATTATTAAAGTGCTTAATTAATATTTTAAGAATTTTGGATATTTTTATAGAGACTATACAATAATTATTTTTTTTATTGACCATATTGACAACTAAATAAATAAATAAATTATTAATTATTAAATTATTAAATTGTATAATAATTATTAAATTATTAAAGTGCCAAAATTAACATTTGAAGAATTTTAGATATTTTTATAGTGACTATACAATAATTTTTCATTTTTTTTTATTTATATCAGCAGCTAAATAAATGAATTATTAATTATTAAATTATTAAATTGTATAATAATTATTATAATTATTAAATTATTAAAGTGCTTAAATTAATATTTTACGGATTTTGGATATTTTTATGATGACTATATGTACAATAATTATTTTTTTTATTGACCATATCGGCAACAAAATAAATGAATTATTAAATTATTAAAGTGCCAGAATTAATATTTGAAGAATTTTAGATATTTTTAAAGTGACTATACAATAATTTTTCATTTTTTTATTGACCATATCGGCAACTAAATAAATAAATTATTAATTATTAAATAATATAAATGAAAGTTAAATGATCTGAAAAATAAAAAATATTTAGTTTGTTTGATTAAGGTACTTGAGGGTAATAAGGCCCAAGTGACAGAAATGATATTTAAAATAACGGCTTTTGCTAAAGGCCACTCTAGTAGAAGTGTCTTGGATAGAAATGTCTTAACAAGTTTATAGAGTCCCGATAGGACGTTCCCTGTCTTGTAGATTTAATCATCCTAAATATGCTAATGCGTACCGCTGAACAATTTATAAAAAAGGATTTGAGTAAATGGTAAGCATTTGTTTATTATTTTACATTTTATTATTTAAAATGATCCTTTTAATGTTTATCTTAATCTTCAAAACCTTTTGTTGGTAAATTTAAGTGATGATTAATCTCTAATAGCTATTTTATTAAGTGCAGTTTAACTATTTCCAGTATGTTTACCCCTCGGGCCTTATTACCCCATCTAAAATAACGCATATTTTGGTTTTTGTAAAAGTTTAGTTTGTTTATGGTGAAAATCACCATTACTTAAGGGTAATAAGGCCCAAGTGACATAAAAAATGTTATTTATAACTTTTTTAAGGCTTCCATTTTTGTTAAAAATTATTTTCATCTTATTCAAGATTGTGATTAAATAAGTAAAGAAAAAAAACATTTTTAAAAGACCAATTTATTTAAAAAGATTGATATCGTAAATGAGTTTTTGTATCTTGTCACACTAGGGTGAGTTATAAGACACAAGACATTGCAATCTGATGGGAATTTATTTAAGTTAAATCCACAAATACTTTTTACATTTTTAATTTAAATGTAATAGAACAATTCAATGTATAATATAACGCATACTTTAATAAAATTTCTAGTGCTGTGAAAATAATAATTAAAACCTTTTATCACTACAATGAACTCTGTACTCTACGTTCATTGTTTCAGGCTTATTGTTCTACTAAATTCGCAGTATTTATTTAATACTATTTTATCATATATTTTTTTTTTTAAGGTCAACTATTTTGCTAGACCATCAGCAGATAATTAATCAGTTATTATTATTATTATAAGCATCTGTATTTGTACTATACACGCGTAAGCTATTGACAAATATTTATCGATAGTCAAAGATACCAATTTATCTATATTACGCATGAGCTATTTATATTTTATTTTCTACTTAACCTAATTTAATGAATGTAATTGAAGAATCCTTATTCCGCACTTAGAAAAAGTGGGACAGTTGACACATGTATGTTTTTATATTTTTAATTTTTATTAAAAAGATCTAAAATTTAACTTTAACAGTTTTATTTATTTTAATAAAATGCATTTTTTTATATATTTTACATATATACATATATATAATATATATATTTTAAAGATATAAGCTCATCTTGATGTTAGATTCATCAAGAGCTTTCATTTGAGTACCCTCATGCATTTTTCATATATTTGTTATATATACATATATATAATATATATAAATATATAAAATATATGAAAAAATTGATGTGGGTACTCAAATGAAAGGTCTTGATGAGTGCAACATCAGGATGAGCTAATTTCTTTAAAAATGTCAATAGTTCACAAGATACCAAGGTCATTTCTTAATAATGTATCTACAGATAAAAATGTAATTTTCTAAATATGTCTTTTATATTTTTTTTTTAAAATTAACATTTAAAAAAATTTTTTTTTACAAAATAAATATTTTTTAGCAAAAATTTTGAGCCTACTCATCATCATAATAACTAATTTAAATATTTAATTATCACGGAATAAAGACGTAGATAACTATGTTATTACGTAATTATGTTCTACATTATTAAATAATCACGTTATTTAATATCTCGTTACGATAAAAATTAACAACCACATCACCTTAATAAGTATTAAATTAATATATTATTATATCATTACACAACTTAAGATCTCTATATATCTTACTTAAATTAATGCATAATCTAATCAGTTTGTGTCTTTGCCTTGAAGAGTACTCTAATTCAGAGCAATGGAAGCTAAAATGAAGGTAAAAAAATATTAATTATTCACAATAAAAAATAATATATTAATTTAATCCGTATTATTTATAAGAAAGTGGTAGCAGTGGTAACAGGTGGTAGCTCTGGGGTGGGAAAATCTATCGTCGAGCGGATAATTCGTAATGAAGGAAGAGTTATAGTGATTGACATTGATGAGGAAAAAGGCCAAGCTGTTGCTAAATCTTTGGGAAGTAATGTAGTGTTTGTTAAAGCTGATGTAGGTATTATTTTTTGAATTAGAATTAAGCTTGAGCAATTAATGATATTTTTTCTGAAGGTTACATCCGAGAAGGAAGTAAAAGAAGCGCTTGCAATTGCAAAAAATACATTTTTGAAGATAAATGTCCTGATAAACTGCGCCGGGATTGTAAAGTGGGGCGCCCCGTACGATTTCGAGCGAAATGCGGCCTTGTCAATAGAGAGCTTTCAAAAGGTGATGGACGTAAATGCTCTGGGGACTTTCAATGTGACGCGTTTGGTCGCGGGGCTCATGGGGGAAAACGAACCTGACGAGAATGGGGAAAGAGGTGTGATAATTAACATCGGAAGCGTGCTGGCAGCCGACGGCAACGTTGATTTCTTCGCTTACTCTGTCAGTAAGGCCACGGTTGTCGGAATGACAATACCTCTTGCACGGGCCTTTGCTGATAAGGCAATCAGAGTGGTGGCAGTTTCTCCAGGGTATCTTGACACGCCGATGACACGTTAGTATTTTAATTTTAATTGTAATCTAAAATATTGAATTTAATTATCGGAATGTATCAATAACCTTTATTTCAATACATTTAGATATAATAGTAATGGTGATTTTTACCATAAACAAACTAAACTTTTACAAAAACCAGAATATGCGTTATTTTACGTGAAGTAATAAGGCCCAAGGGGTAAACATACTGGAAATAGTTAAACTGTACTTAATAAAATAGCTATTAGAGATTAATCATCACTTAAATTTACCAACAAAAGGTTTTGAAGATTAAGATAAACATTAAAAGGATCATTTTAAATAATAAAATGTAAAATAATAAACAAATGCTTACCATTTACTCAAATCCTTTTTTATAAATTGTTCAGCGGTACGCATTAGCATATTTAGGATGATTAAATCTACAAGACAGGGAACGTCCTATCGGGACTCTATAAACTTGTTAAGACATTTCTATCCAAGACACTTCTACTAGAGTAGCCTTTAGCAAAAGCCGTTATTTTAAATATCATTTCTGTCACTTGGGCCTTATTACCCTCAAGTACCTTAATCAAACAAACTAAATATTTTTTATTTTTCAGATCATTTAACTTTCATTTATATTATTTAATAATTAATAATTTATTTATTTAGTTGCCGATATGGTCAATAAAAAAAATTAAAAATTATTGTATAGTCACTTTAAAAATATCTAAAATTCTTCAAATATTAATTATACATCAGGCTAATTTGTAGCCATCTATCGGCTGATTTTATAATTAATATTTCTTAACCAAGAAATATTCTTTAATAGTAACAAATATTTATTTCTATTAAAAAAATCTTTTTTTAGCATTAAAAATATTTATTTAATATAAAAAAGTGACTTATTTAATTTAAATAAATCCTTTTAATTATTAAAAAATATATTAATTAATTTTAGCACATTAATAATTTAATAATTATAATAATTATTATACAACTTAATAATTTAATAATTCATTTATTTAGTTGCCGATATGGTCAATAAAAAAAATGAAAAATTATTGTGTAGTCACTATATAAATATCCAAAATTCTTCAAATATTAATTTTAGCAAAAATTAATTTTCTAAAATGAATTATAAATAATTAAATAATTAACTGTTAAATAAAATTTAGCAATGTTTCTTTTACAGGAAATGAAATTCCAATCGAGCAATTGAACGAAGCGATGCTAAAGTTGAACTTATTTCCAAAACGACTTGGCCAGCCGGAAGAAATCGCTCACCTGATCCAGTGCGTAATTGAAAATCCGTTTATCAACGCCGTTAATCTAACAATCAGCGGTGGATTTCATCAAACCAACTAGAGCTCATAAATATAAAAAGCATCACTCGTCATATTAAGTTTAGTTCAAGCTTATATACTTAAAAAGTGACAAATGGTATTGGTGTACGGTATATTGCAAGATTGGAGGACGGATTAATTATATAGTGTTGTGATACGCACGTACCGAAAGGTTCATTTCGTAGGGAAGGAAAATTTACGATATTTTACAGCCACTTGGAACTGGGAATCCAGTTTGATGTTGAACAAATTTATCTGTATGAGTGAAATATGAGTGCGGCATGACGTTTATATTAAACATAATCATCAGTAGCGTCAACCACGACAGCTGGGGCAGGACCTTTTAAAATACTTTCTTTTCCCTAAACTTTACACGAATAAAAAAAATGACGTGATTAAAGAAAAACTTTTTCTTCAAAATGTTATTGTTGTTTAAAGTAATTAAATTTTTTTAACTTAAGAAATAGATTCTCGAATCAAGAAACTTGGTTTTTTTAAAATAAGATATATATACAACTGTCGCCGAAGAATTTCTTTCTCTTGGAGTAAGATAGACGGTAACGTTGGGTCAAGATATTACCGACTTGTTCGCAAGTATGGCGCCACTCGGGAATTAACATATTATTTAACTTGTTTTAAGCATATAAATTTAAGTATTTTTGCTAATCTCTGTATTAATAAATATTTTGTCGGGAAATAGAGAAATAAAAATGTTTTTAACTTCAAAGTTTTTTTCTCACTTAAACTTATAACATTATAAATAAAAAAATTAGTTGTTGAATCAACAATCAATAATTCTTTAAATGAAATAAAATAATTGTTTATTGAAGAGAATCGTTTTTTAATAAACAATTCACTTGTATAGATCGAAGATAATATAGTGTTGAACCGAGTAAAAATTTTATTGATGGTGGTGATTAGATCTCTCGCTCCAAGAAACATTGAATCAAGTCAAGAATTTCTTGAAATTCAACTAGTTCTCTTCAAAATAATTTTCTTGGAAGAATATCAGTTTACTTATACCCGTTGCTCGCTGCAGTAGTACTTGCGACGTGTCTTGCCGTCTGACTGTGAGGAAAAAGCAATGATGGTGATGATGGTGATCAAGACGGTGATCAGCTTCATGACAGTATCTCAGCGCTGATGACACTGATTTAAAATTATTTTGTAAATTATTATCGATAACCTAGACCCAATGAATAGTTTTGCAATAATTATCCTTGATATTTACAATTGCAAGCATGCTGGGTCTTGATCAATGATCACCAAGTAAGGAGATGATAGTGATGATGGTGATCGCTCCAAAAAACATTAAATCAAGGCAAGAATTTCTTGAAATAAGACAATTAGTTCTCTTCAAAATAATTTTCTTGCAAGTGCATACTTCAATAAAAATTCATTGTTTAACAGGAATATTTTATTATCTTCAAAATATATCTATTATTATAAAAAATAATTCCATCAAGAGTTAATTCAATCAATTATTTATTAGAACCTTGAATGCAACAATTGAAATACATAATTATGGCGCTCCAAATACAACATTGCGAGCGGATCTGGCGACCTCACCAGCCAACCTGATTCCCTCTCTGAGCACGCGAGTTCCAACGACAATCATCGGGCAATTTAAAGCGACTACCAAGTAAGCATTCAAAATGGTGTTGACCAAAGTACGGACTGCTTCAGTGGGATTATTGCTTTGTAAAGCTTGCTGCAAAGCCGTTTCTATTCCATCAACAAAGTCCCCGGTTGCGTTCAAAGCTATTCTTACATGTTCACGGGCTTCTGCTATCGCGTCTGACAGTCCAGGAATTTGCGGAAGAGAATCTAGCGAAGGTGGACCTTGGATTGAAGGAAGCGTTATGTTGCCTGTTAGGTTTCTTAAGGTTGGTACCAGTGAGTTTATGTTAGGTAGCATTGATGTCAAGGCTCGTTTTATGAATGATGATACGCTCCTTTGCGTAGTAGTACTGCTTTGAGTAGACGAAGGGGTGGTAGTAGTAGTAGTAGTAGTAGTAGTAGTAGTAGTAGTTTCTTCTTGATTAGATGAAGAGGTGGTAGTAGTTTGGTTTTGGTTTGGAGAAGAGGTGGTTGTAGTTTGGTTTTGATTTGAGGAAGGGGTGGTACTAGTTTGGTTTTGGTTTGAAGAAGATGTAGTGGTAGATTCGTTTTGGTTTGAAGAAGGGGTGGTGGTGCCTTGTTGATTTTGACCAATAGTGACGTTGCCGTTTCGATTTCCGTCTGAAGAAACGCTGTCATTGTCGTTGGATGAAATTCGAGGGAACAAATTGGAGAAAACGTCCCAAGTATTGTTTGATGATGCAGTTGGGAGGATACTTATGCCGAATATTGGACTGTTGAATCCTGGAATTTTGGGGAATGTTAATCCAGCTTGGACTCCAGCCTACAATATTAAAATAAAAAAATTTAATATTATTTTTTAATATGTAATAGGTATTTTTAATTGTTGATAAATATATATTGATTGAAGATATATTTATTGGGATTTAATAAATTTATAAATCGACATATTTAAAGATACAATTCAACTTTTTCCAAATATATCATTCTTTATACAGCTAAATAATGTCAATAATTAAAATCACCATTATAAAATTAATTATTTTATTATAAACACACATCAACACTCTAAATAATTAAATTTGTAATTAAAAACAATTTTTAATTATAAACTATGTTGAGAAGTAACATACAAACCATTTGATATTAAATTAATTTTTAATGGTTTTATAAATAGGTCAAAATAAAATTTAATATCCTGTGAATATCCTAAAAAAAAAATTATTTAGTAACAAATATTTATTTCTATTAAAAATATTTATTTAATATGATATGAATTATTTAATTTTAATAATTTTTTTTATTATTAAAATTATTATAAATAATTTTAACCATTTCTTATATTACTATAGGCTGTTTAATTAATTCAAAGAAAAAACTTTAAAACTAAAGTTTTTTTTTCGTATCTAATTGATACTATATATATATATATATATATATATATATATATTAGAATGTCTTCTAACAGGAAGTAAAAATAACAACAACAACAATAGAGTACACTCGATATTTAATTAAAAATTTAATTCAATTAAAAGTTTGTTTATTGAATTGAATAATTTAAAATAAAAGTTTAAAATAAAAAAAACACTTACAGCCTGAGAATCGATACTAGCACCTCCGAAAATTTTCGCACCACTTGCAAGCTCACCCACCCCCACTAGACATAAAACTAAAATATATTTAAATTTCATTATTTTATTATTGCAATAAATAATAAATAATAAATATTAAATATTATATCAGCGAGCAGATATTAACTGATATGTTACTAAAGTTAATGTCGAGGACTATAAACCTGTTTATATACTCTACCTCAGTTGTCAATAACCGTGCAAACTATCAACTTCCGCGTTTCGATGAATAAAGATATAATAATGAATAGAAGATACACAATGGGTATCACCAGTTGCTAAATAAATCAACCGATAATAACTTACTTATTGATCCACTTGTCGCTATTATTATTTTAATTTACCTTCAATTTGTTGGCAATTAATCACAATAACTCAATTTACTAATCAATTAACGTCATTAATTATCATTTATCGATAAACCGTGTCATCATTTATTATAAAATTATTGACATATATTTTTTTTTAAGCGATACAAAAAATTATCTATATTATTAAAAGAACAAGAAAAATTTTGTGTCAATTTATTATGATTATTTAGGCTGTATTTGAAAATTATTTCTAGATGCATAATTAAGAAATGACATTGCATCTCGTGAAATATTGACATTTTTAATGATAGAAGCTCATCCTGATGTTACACTCATTGAGACCTTTCATTTGAGTACTCACATCAATTTTTCATATATTTTATATATTATATATATGTATATATGAAAAATATATCAAAAATGCATGTAGGTATTTAAATGAAAGGTCTCGTTGAGTGTAACATCGGGATGAGCTTGTATCTTGAAAAATAACAATATTAATTAAGATATGACCTTGTATCTTGCGAAAAATTGACATTTTTAAAGATATAAGCTCATCTCGATGTTACACTCATCAAGACCTTTTGTTTGAGTACCTACATCAATTTTTCATATATTTTATATATTTATATATATATTATATATGTATATATGAAAAATATATAAAAAATGCATGTGGGTACTCAAATGAAAGCTTTAGACAAGTGTAACATCAGGATGAGCTTATATTTTTAAAAACATCAATATTTAAGGAAGCACAGTGCAATTTAACAAAATTCATTATTTAATAAACCAAAATTTTATTTATTAATATTCCACAAATTACAGCAGTCATATAGTGACTGCAACGTTGGTAATTATTATTGTAGGAAGTAAATTTGAAGAAATTAACACTTTTTAGAACATTTTCCATTGTCTTTCCTGAAGAAACCACTTTGGCACCGACATTTTCTCATTGGTCCCGGACCGCAAGACTAAAAAAATTTCAAAATTATCCAAATAACATTAACAATATCAATAACAATAAATATGTAATTTTTGAAAAAAAATTACCGGAGGAACACCAGGACCAAATCCACAATCAGGATTTTGATTTGAGCAGCTAGGCTCACAGAGACTTCCGCAATTGTTCATCTCTTCGTGCTTTCCACATCCTTTAGCGCAATTAACATCTAAAATTTTTAAATAATTTATTTAATACTAAATAATAAAGAAAATTATACTAAATTATATTAATTAATGTAATACTGACATGTAATTGCAAGAAAGACGAGCAAGAGAACAATTAACTGACGAGTCATTGTATAATAACTTTAATAATGAATAAATAATCTGGGTGATTATATTTATATACTAAATTTTGTTATTGCAATTGTTATGTAACAAAGATAAATTTTTGGATTCTTTTGTTTTTTGTACAATAATAAGGAAAAATAATTAATTTAATTGTAATAATATTTATTTAAGTGCAAGTAGAGAGAATAATAAAAAGAAAGTAATATTAAATAATAAAAATTTTAATGAATAAGGTGGTTATATAAGTACGGTGCATGAGAGGGGTGGGGAAGTTGTTGGGTTTGTAAGCTACGAAGATCTGAGGAATAGTTGTGAGTTAACGAGTCGATATGCACTAGATATGCGTTATTCTCGTAAAATCCTGAGGTAAATCCACCTACCAGTAGGAAGATACGAAGATAGGAAGATTTAAAGGTGGGGAACTCGGATCAAATCCAGAATCCACTAACAGCTGGCTTGGATCCTGGTATTTTGCGAATTTCCTTACGCATGGGTTCTTCCACTTCTCTAAAGTTTACATCGAGGCTTTTACTTGCAAACACCAGAAGCTACGCCTTTAATATCATTATTAAATCTCGTTAAGAAATTTTAGTATCTCGGAAAAATTGACACAAGGTACCGGCGAGTGATAAGGAAGATTTAAAAAAATCTAGAATAGTGTATTTAATTATCGGAATGTATCAATAACCTTTATTTCAATACATTTAAATTGAGTAATGGTGATTTTCACCATAAACAAACTAAACTTTTACAAAAACCAGAATATGCGTTATTTTAGGTGGAGTAATAAGGCCCAAGGGGTAAACATACTGGAAATAGTTAAACTGTACTTAATAAAATAGCTATTAGAGATTAATCATCACTTAAATTTACCAACAAAAGGTTTTGAAGATTAAGATAAACATTAAAAGGATCATTTTAAATAATAAAATGTAAAATAATAAACAAATGCTTACCATTTACTCAAATCCTTTTTTATAAATTGTTCAGCGGTACGCATTAGCATATTTAGGATGATTAAATCTACAAGACAGGGAACGTCCTATCGGGACTCTATAAACTTGTTAAGACATTTCTATCCAAGACACTTCTACTAGAGTAGCCTTTAGCAAAAGCCGTTATTTTAAATATCATTTCTGTCACTTGGGCCTTATTACCCTCAAGTACCTTAATCAAACAAACTAAATATTTTTTATTTTTCAGATCATTTAACTTTCATTTATATTATTTAATAATTAATAATTTATTTATTTAGTTGCCGATATGGTCAATATAAAAAAATGAAAAATTATTGTATAGTCACTATAAAAATATCCAAAATTCTTAAAATATTAATTTTAGCAAAAATTAACTTTTTAAAATGAATTATAAATAATTAAATTCTGAATTGTTAATTTTTGACTTTATGAAACAAAATTTAAACTTGTCGCAAAAATGATTTAATACACTTAAAAATTATATTTTTAATTAAAAAAAAAGAATATTTCTTAATCTCGTAATTAATCAATCGATATCAGAGCGATAAAACTAATAAATCTATCAAATAAAATTCAAAGTTTTATCTCATTGATATATATCCGATAACAATAAATCATGATTCACGATATAAAATATAAAATTAGTGTTTAAGTATTACGATTAATCTTAGGGAACATTATTCGAAATAAAAAAAACGTAAAATATATATTAAAATTTTATTAACCAAAAGTGAAAAATGATAACGATGAAAAAAAGTGATAAGTTTAGAAATATACGAGGTTTTTATTCAACCCTATACAGATATAAATAAGCGATGAAGAATTAATTCACGAGGGTTACTCTAAAATGGATATCCGACTAAGATGAAAAGGGGGAACGGATGATACATCTGTTTTAATACATACTATACATCTAAATATACACCATTAACTTTTAAATTATTTAAGACAGTGTATTAGTAAATTATATACACAAACTTTTATGAAAAATCTATTATATATTTTAATTATATGCATCAATAATAAGTATAAATTGAAAATTATTCCCGGTTATAAAATCAAAGTTAGTTTAGTTTATTATTCTCGTAAAATTTGAATTGATAATCAATGCTAAATTTTATCATCGTTTATCCTCTTTATACTTAAAACTTTAAAGTAACTTTTTAAAAAGTCTACTTTCTGTAAATGGCCCTCAAGTGACATTGTTCAGTAGTTTCCTAGTTTCCCAGTTTGGGTAGTTTTGATATCCAACATTACTATAAGCCCAAAATGATCCATCCGTATCATATACCCATAACATTATCCAGAGAATTTACAAAGTTATTTTTATTTTTATATCAAATAGCTTATTTATTTATTTATTTTTATATTATGAATAAACTGATTTAGTAAAAAAATTTTTAGTCATTTATTTGGGAGAAAAAAATATTTACCCATCAATATTTAATAAATTATTTTTTTATTCTAAATAAATTATATTAATATATAAACAAAGCGTTATTATATAAAAATAAATATTTGTTTCCACCAAATAATATTTAGTAGTAGTTACTAAATATTTGTTTGGTAAGTATTGTCGGTAGATGGCAGCGCTTTAATTTCAATGTCATACATAACCTATTAACTGACTGAGATTATTTTATTGAGCTTGAATTTTGGGAGATTTATCTTGCCTTTTAAAAGACACATCCTCCCAAATGGCTTATATGTCATTTCTCAGTGGAGTTTAGTTTAAATTTGTTCAATTAGTCTATTATTGATATGTTAAAAAGCTGTTTAATTTAAAATTTTATAAATGTCTCAAATAAAAAATAATTATTTAATGAGATGATTTTCTTTATAATACCGAATGTTTTAACTTAAAATTATTTATTTTAATTATTTTGATTTATTTTTAGTAACAAAAGTTAGGTTATACGGTAAAATTAGTTAAAAAATTAATTTGTTTAATAGCAATAAACGATTTATTGCGAAGCAATAAATCATTTGTTAATACTAAATATTTATTATGGTGGCAATGGGCTTTAATAAATTATTTAGTAACTATTACTAAATTTTAGCTGAAAAAAATTTTTTTTTTTCAATAGTATTTATTGAAAAAGTATATATATTGAAATAGTATATATCCCCACATATAATATCCATTGGCTAATGAATCACTAATAGATTTTTCAATCAGATCGTATAAATATGAAAGTCAAATAGACAAACTGAAAGCTGAGAAGGGGTAACCATTTATATGGCTGTAATGTAAAAAAAAAAGGGTTTGAAGTAAGCAGAAAGTCGGATAATCAAAGCGAGGTATTGTAATTATGCTAACAGCTCTCGCTGGTTTTAGAGCTTTCTGATGTGGTTGAATGTTATCTTTCTCTTACATATTTTATTCATCCATCCATTCGTCGCTCGGTCTACTCTTTTTATCTTAAACAGTTCCCGCACCTGCCGTCCTCTTCTCAAATTCATTCCTAGTTTATATAACTTTCCAGTTCTGCCCCTACTACCTACAAAATGTCTATATATATATATATATATATATTTCCTCGTCCACTTATTAATATTACCATCGGTTTTCAACAACGCGCTTCATCTTCGCGTTACTCATCTACTTGAGCATTTCGCCGATACCTTTGTCCCTCTATATATATGTATATACACTCGCTCGTTACTTATACTTTTGAAAAAGTTTCATTCCGGAAAAAAAAACACTTTTCTTATTTAAAAAAAAAAAAATAATAATAAATTAAACCATTGGACAAATTGTGAATCTCGAGGTACTCATGAATAACTTATCGGAGTTTATTTCTTTCCATTTGGATAAGTTAATTAATTAAAAAAATTAATGGTAATTCTTTTTATTCCGTCAAGTTTAATTAGAGGTTGTTAAATATGGATTATATTATTTAAATGTTTTATCGTTTTTAAATCACTTGAAATTTATATTTAATTATTGTAATTAATTTTGTCACTTAAAATTTAAGACCTAAATTTATTTTAGAGACAGATATTTTTTTTAATAACAAATTAATTGAATTTTTACAATAATAGTTACAATAAAAGAGCATTTTTTTTTTTTTAAGACAAACAAAATTAATTCAAAATTAATTAATTAACTTACGAATTAATTCAAACAAAAATAGTAATTTTTCTTGAAAATCTCAATAAGTAATTACAGTGTAAATAACTTTTTTAGATAACTGCAGTGAGACTTTTTACTCTTTTATTAATTAAAGATGGCTAATCTTTAATTGATGGATAAATTTATATAAAATATAATTGATACTTGTATATAATTAATTTTTAAACTTACGCGTATTTTTTCTCTCCGATCAATTCCATTAAAATATCATTGATTGGAATATTTTGAAATATATAGTCAAAAAAAAAAAAAATAGTTGATTTTTTATTGGCACGGCTGACTGGTAACGGACGGTCGAGGTCAAACGTGCGTCCGTCGGTTCGATAACGTTTTCCAGTGATTCGTGGTGCTGGTGGTACTGGTGCCGCTAGGGTCGCGGTTGGTTGCAGAATTGCCTGGTTAATTTCACACTCCCATGATTATATAGACGAAATGGGAAGCATTTATATTCGCAGACGCGTATATATAGAGAGTCAAGGGTGTCTGATTGCACCCGATGTTTAAAGTAAAAAAATTAAAGCGAAAAAAAAAATATTATTTTTTTCACCTCCTGTCATCTTGTCTACAGTGTACATAATCGAACGCTATATAATGTGTCTTCTTTTCTGGGAAATCGAAATGCTCGATCATACGCGAGATTGGCTCATTCTTTACTTTCGAAGAGACTCTATTTTCATAAGATCAAGAGCGGAAAGACTCACGGTTCAACTACATATTCTGTTATAACATTCTCGATGGGTATATTAAAGAAAACGTCCAACAAAATTTTATTTCGACTTTACAAAACTCTATTCGCTTTTTATTTTTAGATTTTTTTGATTTTAATCGCTTTATTTAAGTTTATTATTTATTAATTGGATTTTAAATTATACTAAAATTGATAATTATTTTT